TCTTGATCCCTGACTGGTGCCTCCACATCCATGGCTGACACCTCTTGATCCTTGACTGGTGCCTCCACATCCGTGGCTGACACCTCTTGATCCTTAGCTGGTGCCCTATGATCCTTAGTTTGCATTTCCTGATCTTCTGCTAGTGTCAACTGATCCTTGGATGATAGGTCTTGCATTATAGATAATGCCCCTTGTTTTTCAGCTTCTGCAGCCATCATTTTCCATTGATCCTGGTTTCGTCTAGTTTCTTCTTCATTGATATCTTCCTCAAAGTCCTTTGCCGTTAAACCATCATTTTTCTCCTCCTTTCTCCTCCTTCTCCTGTCTTCATCACTTTCATCTTCATCTTTATCCCCATCACCAGAGGATGAGCCACTACTGTTTTGAGGACAAATGGTAGGTCTTCCACTGGTACTTTCATTTCTTTTACTGCAGTCCGATGATTTGACACACTTTGTATCACCTTTTGACTGTTTATTTTCACTCTTGCTATCACATCCATCTTCTGCATGACATTGACTTATGCACATATTACACACCGTACGCATGGTGTTGAGCTTGTTCTTTCCATCAAGAGAGCTTTCTGGGTTATTCAAGATTTCTGGTTGGAAGTGCTCTTCTGGGAGCTTCTTGCTGGAGTAGTCATCTTCAAAGCTACGACAAAAGAAACAGATGACTGTTTATACTGCTAACAGAGTCCTATTTTGTTTTAAAATTTAATAGAGAGCAGGCCTTTTGCAGAAGGAAATCCTGTGTCCTGCAAATACAATTCCAATTTAACTTTTATAAAAGAACTATTCATGGATTACCAATGTCATGGCCAAAGCCTTTTTAAGTAAAATTATGTTATTTTTCCTTATCCAGGCTTCAAATAACAGCCATCAATTTCCAGACACGATAACCAGCCAAATTAGGTATAGCTTCATTGCTGGCTTAAGAATACTGGTAAAAATTACCAGCAAGGCAAAGATTAGGCCAGACAATTTCTAGTTCTTGTTGGGGTAACCAGTCTTTTCGATCCAGGTCTTTTCAATCCACCTATACACACTTTCGATCCACCGATATATACATTTGACCCACATATATAAATAAAGCATATATTAACAAGTCCTATATGCTGTGTATATCCAAAATGTAAAAGAGTATTGTTAAAAAAGTTATTAAATGTATGAATAACGACTAAAAGATTAGGATTAGAAAAGAAATGGAAACTATGTGCGCTGGACTATGAGTTTGGCTGGGCATGATGATTACATACATCGGTGTCATGGAATTTTTCAAACAAACACCTTCCAACTGTCTTAAATAGTAGGACATTACTTTGAATTTGCATTTATAGTATCTAATGACTGTATCTCGACATGAAGTGGGAATATCAAAAGCCAAGTTTATAATATGATAACACTATTTTTGTAATCAATCAAATAGTTTTGGATCGAAATGACTTTCATCTTCGAACAAAATGCTGTTCAATTCATTGGTTATTTTTAATGTGCTTCACATACTATTATATTAAAGTTTTTCAGTATTAAAGTAAATCAACATCTAAATTAAAATGAAAACCAGTTGATTTCTGAAACTATTTGTTAGTAAAAACTTATACAGTTCGCTTCAGTTAAAAGAAACTTCACATCAATCTTAGTATCCTTCGCATCCAAACAACAAAATTAACCGTCGGTGCATCTTTTTGTCACTCAAAGCTTTAAAGTTTTTAACTCATTCGTGATGTTTCCCTTACTTTATTTGCTGTGAGTTTTTAACACAAATATTCCTGGAGAAAAAAGCTGTTTTCGTACTCAAGATTTTGGAAAACAAGCAAATAATCTTAAACAAATCAAGTAGTTTGACGAGTTTCATTGGCGAGTCCTAAACACTCTTGTTGCCACACAACAGTTATTCGATTGCGTCTGCAGTTTTTAACTCATTCGCAATGTTTCCCTTGCTGTAGTCACTAGGAGATTTATATTCATGAAGAGAAAAAACTTTTTTTTTGGCTAAAGACTTTCCGTTGGAAGTGAATGTGGGGGCTAACGAACATATAAAACCGAAAAACAAAATACTTTGTAAGTGATAACACATCAGACACACATACACGATCACACAAGATTCTTGGTTCACTCATTGGAACTTCTTCTGTGATTTTACCAAAAGAAAACACTCTTAAGTGATGCCTAAATGTCTAATAAATATTTTATAACTGTGTTGGATCAAACGTGTATATAAGTGGATCGAATGCATATGTATGTGGATCGAAAGCACTTGTACATAGGTAGATCAAAAAGACCTGGATGGAAAAGACAGTCTGTGGATTGAAAAGACCGGTATTCCTGGTCGGACATTTTCTGATGGCTGACTGTTATTTTAAACCCTGCTTATATGCCAATGTTATGGCACTGCCAGACTTATCACATTGCATGATAAAAAAAAATTAGCCAATCAAAATTCTAAAAAACAAATCATGGTTGTAGCAACACAAGCATATACAGCACTGAGCTTTTTACAGTAATCTAATCATGATCTAGGAGCACAATGCACTGTTTGTCAAAGCATTTTCTATTTTCTATGTTCTATGTTCTTTCAACAGGGGAATATGATATTTCTACATAAAAAAAGATATTTTGTGAATCCTTTCCAAGAATGAGATTTCCAATATTTTAAAGTAAAAGCTGTTGCTTATAGAATACCTTCGTACACATAGAAAATAAGAGAAATAATATGAGGCTCTCACTAACTGAATTTCAATTAAAACTAGTCTTGTGATGTTTTTGGGGATTCCCCTTAGATCTACAGAATACCTTTGATTTTATTTCAGAAAATGTTAAAATTAAAAATATTTATATTCATATTCAAAATTCGTAATTATTACCAAAAATTCTGTTCCACTTACGCGTCGTTCCATGTCATACTCTGATGGCCTGGTTTTCGTGTCTGAAGGACGGATTCTTGTGCCTTCGAGTCGGATTTTCTCTCTTGTTGTTCATCTACAAGTACAAAAACAAGTACAAGAAATGAAGTTTACATGAAAGTGACAAAATCTTATTCCAATTTGTACAATTAATGTGATTCATTCAACTTCAAAGTAAAAAATATTAGATTTCCGTAAAATCGTTCGTAATTTACGGCCATAAAGGAATATTGTCGAGTCTTAGTGGCCTTGAGTGCGAGTCGAACAAGCTTCTTGGAGTCCGCCATGTTGGTTTGAATTATCGGGAAAGTGTTCGACAGTTAAGTAAGACAAGACTAGTATAAATTACCTGTAAACTCTTTCATTTTAAGCTTCCCTTGTGAAAGAATGTTCAAAGACTCGAAAGGATTGATTGCAACCGTCTCTTCGCTTCTTTTTTTTACGTCTTGTGCAAAGATAACAGAGCTTTGGTGATCGCCGCAATGTTGAAACCTAGCTGACTTTAGTTCTAAAGCGTTCGTTTCTTTTTCTTCCAATTCCTCAGAACATGAATACGATTTCTTTGGAGATAGTAGGCGTTTAAAAAGCTGCAACATTGTTGGTTTGAATATTATAGTCAATAATAAAAACACAATCGCAACGTTCTGCAAGACCGTCGCTCTTGAAATGGCTTCCCGATTCCTTCCCGTCTGATCATGTGATAAAATAGCTTCTTGTCATTGGCTAACTAGGGTTGAGATTTTGAATAATATTTTTATGGGAAATTTCTGGGGACACCGGAAATAGTAATAAGATCGTTTTTCGCGAAAAAGAAAAACAAGGGAATAGTTTTAAGATCAAGGTCCATAGAGGATTATTTTTTTTTTAAATATTAGGATTTGCCTCTTTTTAAGTTTTGAAACATGATCTCTTGGAATAAGAAATAAAGCTGCCATAATGGAAATCTCAATCTAAAAAAATGGGAATTTTCATTTATTTTTACTGGTTGAGGTCGCTGAAAAGGTAAAATCAAGATTGGATTTTTCTCCAATATTCTACATTGTAAATTTAATTTTTCTGGTACTCTATCACGGCACTTTTTGTCAATCAGTAGTTTGAAGAGTGGGTTTCCTGTGTTGATTTGGAGCCTGGGCCCGCCTAAAATTCAAGATGGCGGACAAACTTGAAATTTCTGCGCTTACTGCAGACGAATTACTGGCAGAATTGCGGGCATTCGGCCTCAAAACAGGCCCAATTACTCCCACGACAAGAAACATCTTCGAAAAAAAGTTAGCAAAGGCACGTGGCGAGAAGTTAAATCCCGACATAGAAGAAATTCGTGTTATTTCTTGTGATGAAGATGTTGATTCGCAGCTTCCCTCCACAGATACAACAGACTTTATATCAACTGAAAATCAAGGGAAGAACTCTCATTCCAGCAGCGCCTCCTTCTATTATGGCGTATCTTTTGATAGGAATAGTATCGACGAAAGCGCAACTCGTGTACCAACCGTTTACACTACGAAACATGACGCATTAGAAGCTGTAAAGAAACTGAAAGATAAAGCGGCAAGGTTCAAACCTTTCAAAACTAGACACGAAGCAGAGGTATTTTCGTTATCATCTGGTTTAAACGCATCCAACGGCTCTTTATCTAGTGTTCCAAAAGTAACAGACCCTGCGAGTTCATTCAAGAACCCGAAGCCGCAAGAACTCGTAAAGTTTCGTAAAATAATCGAAAAGGGCAGTTCACAGGAGTTTTTAGATTTCATCAATAGTAACCCAAAGTATCTGATAAGTTCTGGAGATACTCCAGTTATACTACAAGAAGGATTTCGATACAATGCTATGCATGTAGCAGCAAAAGAGAACAAGCCAAACATTTGTAAGTTAATCGTTGAAACCTTGGAAAGCGATGAGTTTTGGAAGAAATATTTGTCAGTTGACAAGAACACTGTTTCACAAACGAGCTTTGAAAGAAAACAAGTATTGGTAGATTTGTATCTGAATACGCCAGATAAAGGGGTGAGATTCATTCAGTATTATAATATGATAAGCAATATTATATCTTACCTTATTTATTCCCATGATTAATATCCATTTGGTTTTCAGGGAATATAAACTACTACATGTAATTGAAACAGAAAGTTATTTTTATTGGCTGAACATTTTTGTCCCCTTTGGGGGACGGGTCGGTGAGGAGGGGGTCTAACAATTTGAAAGGGCTTAAAAACAAATTGAAGAAAGAAACTATGGCCATTAAAACTCTGGCGGCACTTCCCAGATATGATCGATTCAGAGGACAAAAAATATAATTGAAATTCTCGTGAGAGTAAAATTATATTGTTTCCTCCTCAGCATTGTATTGGCAATATTCTGCAACGGGTCTACACAGAATCAGCACAAAAACTGAAAAATCCCCACCTGCTGATTAATGATTAGAAAATTTATAAATCTATGCTTATCATAGTAAATCAAACAGAGTGCAAACAATTAATCCGTGAAACACTAATTACTAAATAGTACAAAATAGTGCCAATTAAACAATAGAAAACAATGGAATTTGCATGAAATTGTGCTATTGAGTATTACTAAAGTTTCACGGTTATATTTTTTGCACTCTAAGTAACTAATTAATTTATGAACTAAATAACTTTATTGGATCTTACAGAGCAAAATTGAAAATAATTTTTGGAGTCCCTACAGTATAATATAATAAGCCTTTTCATGGTTAAAGAATCGATTCCACTGTGCATGCGATTTTATCCTGAATTTCTCACCTTTTGTCTAAACCTTCTTTTGTTCTTAATTTAACAAAAGAAGGTGAGAAAATCGCATGCGCAGTGGAATCAATTCTTAAACTATGAAAAGGCTTATAAACAGTTGCATTTTTAAATTTCAGAATTTTGAGACACCATTGCATTTTGCTTGTAAATTTGGCCACATTGATGTGGTAGAATACTTAGTAAGTCATCCATTGACAAACGTTGGTCCAAGAAACAAGTATGGAGATACGCCCAATCAGGTTTGTTTATTTACACTCACTATATGATTGTATTACTGCATGTTATTTCCAGCTTAGTTTGAAGTGTCAAAACTTTGTGTCATGTGACTTTAATGTGCGGACACACTAATCGGGACAACTTGAATAAGACTGACCAATCAGATGACACTAAACTAGACTGAGATTGAACTGATAACAGCGTTGGCCAATCAGATTATCACATTCTCACTCTCTTATTATATCAATGTGATATATCCATCTGATTGGCTGGTTAAAAATATTGAACTAAACATAGCAATATGATTGGTTAATGATAACAGTTTGTCAAAGTGGCCCCGGTTGAAATTTCTGCACAGTAACATCCAGGGCTTAATTAAAACAAAGCCAGTCAGTCAGTCAGTCGGTAAGTTAGTCAATCAGTCATGATGACTGGCCAAATTAGTTTAAGCTCAGTTATACCTTGTTTCTGGGTTAATGTTACTGGTCAAAATGACCGGCAAGGCAAAAATTTAACCAGACAGGTTCAAATTCTGGCCGAACATTGCAGGGGCAGATCCAGGATCTTTTCTAGGAGGGGGTGCAACATCCAGAATTTTCGTTTTTGGAGGGGTGCACCCTTTGCTTACAAACTCAAACACCAATGATACACTAGATGTCAGCTCATCTGGGGGGGGGGGTTGTGCTGTGTCCCCTGCACCCCTCCCTAGATCCACTTCCTGCATCGTTTGATGACCTGCCATTATTTCAATTCTCAAAATCTAGTCATGATTATTTGTGGTAATGCATACCTGCGTTAAAGGAATAGAATAACATTAATAGAATAACATATAATAACGTTAATAGAATAACATATGAAAGAAGATTGGAACAACTTCTGACTCAGAAAAATCTGAGCCCCAGACGGGAATCGAACCCATGACCCTCCTGATACTAGTTGGATGCTCTAATCGTCTGGGGCTCAGATTTTTCTGAGTCAGACATTGTTCCAATCTTCAAATGCATCCCTGATTGGATGAATTTATTTTGCACAAGGCATTATATTAATAATAGCAGGATCTTACATCCAGCCAATCAGAGAAAACCATTTTTATTTTCTCGTGTCAAGTTGAGTCCAGGAATAAAACCTAAAACCCCATGAGTAAGAGTTGTAAAAACAAGAACAGTTAAATGGATAATTCACCACTGACAGTATTGTATTATTTTTCAGGTTGCTTGCTCAAGGTGTACCTCACAAACCAGTGTTATTCAAGTTAAAAATCATATCAAACATTTATTGGAAGGTATAGAAAAAAAACTTAATTAGAATATATAGTTTTAGCATAAACCTACTAGCATACTATAACGAATCCTGCAATCTGATTGGCTAACGTACTCACTATCTATCCTGTGATAGATAGCGAGTAGCGAAAAACAAACAAATGAATGCTCAAGTTTTGTCAAAATCTCTGCTTGTTCTCTAAAAACTATTTAAAAATCGATTGTAGAAAATAAAAGATACTATCAAGGAAAGTAATGGAGGTTTTGGACCGTACAGATAAATCAAAAACTAAAGAATTATGGCAATTTTGAACACGAAAAAGCGGGCGTTAGATTTCACTGAGATTTTCATGTGCAAACTTGCGACGGACAAACAACTGATAACGATGGCATTTTAAAAGATTTCCTCAAAGAACAGAAAAAAATCCAAAAGACAACTTATTCACATATATTCAAGAAGAATTTTAAACGGTAAGAACAGACGAAACAATAAAAAAAGTGATAGTTAACTGACAAGAATCTTAAGAGAATTGTAAACATGGCATGACCTTGAATGATCTGATAACAAAATATTTGAAAATAAATCTGTTCAGTTTATCACTCATTAATTAGAAAAATGATCCCAAGAACTGATAAAAATCTTGGAAAAAGAGTTTTGAGTGTGATAATAGAGACAAAAAGCCATAGAAATAGAGCAGGACATCGTGTCGAGTTTGCAAAGATGAAGGAAAACCCAGTGCTGCCGGTTGATCGTCGCTTTGTACAGTAAAGCTTTCAGTGTCATTTGTTGTTGTCAATACTATATTATTAGCTAGATAGATGTGGCAGTGCGCCGTGTGGGATGGGCTCGGATATCAAATAAGAACATGCGTAATA